GTAGAAAGTTCTTGAATTCTTCTCAAGTTATAACAGTATTAATATGCTCAAGCTCTCTCTTCTTAATAACTCAAGTAGTCACAGAGATGTCTTCAAGAAGATTGACAGTGTATATTACTTATATCTTATGAGTATTATACTGACTCAGATTAAGGCAGAATTTCTATTCAAGAATACAGATAAAGCTGTGAAATTCAGATAAGATATTTCTCTTATATCTCAGTGAATCTCTGATCTTAATCTCTCTATCTTCATGATAGATATAGATGTGTAGAGACTGCGGCAGTGACAGAGCAGTTGAAGAGCTTATGTCAAAATACACAGTGAGTTCAGAAATCTCAGATTTCTGCTGAGATAGAGATGTATACACTCTAGAGAATGATGTAGTATTTCTTTCAGAGAGTGAGATTGAGTCAGTCTCAGTATAGATGCATGAGATCATATCAGTCTGTTAGAGCTTGACTGATTCAAACTTATAATCAGATTGAGTGATTTAAATTGTAATATAATAAAACTGAAGTGATGACTAGTCAGTGATAATATATAGAAGTAGTTGTTTAAGAAGCTGTATGAGTGAGCTTGACTATCTTGCTTGAATAATAAGCTTATAGACTACAGGGTTATTGCAAGAATATCACAGATATAATACTTAGTATACTAAGAAGATTATATAAGACATGCAGTAACTCTTGTGTATATTTCAGTAGAAGTAAAAGACAAATTACTGACTTCTTGAATGAGAAGTCAGCATCTAGCTATTCTATATAGATAATGAGCGGATACTCTTCTCTCATTCCATAAGTGAGAATAGTCAGAGTGATACCTCAGCGGCGTCTCATTGCCAAGGAAGAGTAATCTGCTGACCTTGTATAGAAGCAGAGTTCTCATATTCATCAATTGAATCTTTCTATGATACATCTGAATGATGTCATAGAGTGATTGAAAACCAGTTCAGACAGGATAGAATCATCCGCATGAAAGTGATAGGCCATGTGGAACCGCAACGGGGCCTTGGCGCGGCCCGGAGCGTGACAGTAACACTCAATTCTCTCATAACTATCAATTTCTCTCTTCAAAGAATTAGAGAGTATTATATCTGTAATACAGATAATTATTACATTTGATGTGAAGACTGTCAGAAATGTACAGACTTCAGAGAAGCTGAATATCAGAGTATATACAGTTATAACAGAGTCTTAAGAGCTGATCATCTATGCATGTGATCAGATATCTCTTATAAAGCTGTGTCTGCTTTCTCAGTTATACTGAAGTATTCAGTCTGAAAATAATTAAGATATAGAGAGAGAGCTTATCTGCTCAGATCAACTTCTGTCACAAATTCATAGCATTTATATTGTCTTAATTACTCAGATTTTACTGGTATCTGAGAACTCATCTCTCATTGACAATGAGATTGTGAAAATGTGCTGTGATGTGAGAATTATTGATAGAGAATCTAGACATATTCATATATATCTGATCAGAGATTGTGCAGGCAGAGAGAGAGTGATTATAGACCTGTGAAGTCACAGAAGACACTGACAATATCAGAAGCTTTGTAAGAACTGTCAGCTAGAATCTGTAAGAAATTACTTATAAGAAGACTTACAGTAAAGAAAGAGACTGCACTGCTTAAAGTCAGAGACTGATCTGAGAGAGACATGAGATTGACTGCTGATCTCAAGATTGAATACAGCAGCAGAGCTGAGAGAGATGAAGATGTGATTATAAGTGACAGTATTTCTACTTCATCAGCCAGTAAAAAGCAATCAGAGAAGTTATGAGAATATCTATAAGAAGCTCAGAGATGATCAGATATTGTTTACAAAGTTATTAGAATTGAAAAAATTTTTATTCTTGAGAAGTTCTTGAATCAATATGTGAATATTATCAGAAACACTCTCTCTCTGTCATCTCAGTGAAAACACTTTGTAGATGAATGAGAATACTCACAGTTTATAAGAAGAAGAACTGTTACAGAAAAAGAGAAAAGAAGATGAGATTTCACAGACAGATCTGAGATATTTATACTACTCTAGAGAGATTTACTTACACTGTGAGTGATTCTGTGAAACAGTCAGATCACTCTAGTAAATAAAGGTGATTGTGAATCACAGGCCTGAATCTTTCTATATAACTATAAAAAGTGATTGCAGACTGCAGATATCTTAATTCTACAATTTTACAGAGTTAGTAAAAGAATGGAAAATTCCTTACAATTCTACAGTGTCAAAGAACAATGATTCATAAGAATAAGTGAAAGATTAACTTGTGAATACTTCTCTTTGATAAGAATGATCTCATAGAGAGTGATTCATCTGTGAGATGAATCTGTGTAATAGTCACACAAGAATCTCATGAAAATAATTAAGAGTCAACTGAAACTCTTCTGTATAAAAGATATGAGATGAATCTGTGTGATAGTCAGAGAAGAATCTGTAGATTATAAAGAATCTTACAGAATAAGAAACTGAGTAACAGACTCTTTTCTCTTTATGATAATAAGGGATTTTTCCTGACTGAGGTTTTTTATAGATGTGAAGAGTTTTTAGTGAGTATCACTACTAGACTGGCCGCCGGGATCATGAATTTCACGTTTGGTCTCATTTGGTCTGGTCTCATACATTTCTTGGCGTGAATCCCGCTGGGACTAATCATTAAATAAACATGCAAAGTGACTATATATCAGATCTTAAAATAGAATCATGACTTGAAAAAAATGAGAAAGTGATCTCATTTGGTCTCATTTAGTCTCATTCTTGGTATAAAGTTACTATTTTTAGATATTTTAAGGTTTTCTTTAGACTATTTTTAATTTTTTAAAAAGTAACACTTTTTGATAATGCTCAAATGAGATTTAAAGTCATTTAAAGCAATAAAAATAATTTAAATTGAGAAGTGGAAATCATGATTCTATTTGAAAAATGTGACAAGAGTAGACAGTAAGTCTCACTGAAACAGTATGAGACTACTATCTAATGTTAGAACCATGTAATGAGATCTGTCAAAATGGCAATAGAACTATTAAAAATTCTGATCCTGGTCTCAGACACGGTCACACGGTCAGTCTAATCACTACAGTGCTGAGCTGATTCTATGAAGTCACTCAGTGAAAGACTTTGTGAATAAAGTCTTAGAGAGAGAGAAGTATGTAAGAAATTCTACTTCTCACAGATTCTTTACTTCTATTTCTATCTCTTATGTAATTAATAGAGCTAGCAGCCCTTGACTACACACAACTATATAGACTGGAGTTCATAAATACTATTCATAACTCAGCTTGAATACTATTATACATTTGACCTCTACATTTTATCTTTCTATCACAAATACTTCTAGTAGTTAACAGTACATATCATGCCAAGCTGCAAACACTCGAATAATCACCTGCGAGCACTTATTCTTACATCATCATTATAGCACTGTGTAGAGCTATGTGTGATATTCATATGTAGACATTCAAATGATATTTAAGATCTAATGTGAGAATGTTTAGATATTTGATTTTTTACATTAGATAAATGACAGAGTTTATAAAGCTCAGTGATAAGCTCATCTGCAGCATCTTCTAGATTAATAATTTGAACATCAGTTGCATCATTTGTAAGCTTTTAAATGATGATTTTTGATGAATATTCTAATCTCTTATACTATGTTGACTGAGTAGCTATAGAGATCTTAGGTTTTTGAGAAGGTTTTATGCATATTGACAGATTAGAAGAATGATTTGTAGAAGTTGAAGAATTTGAAGATATTGTTTTTTCAGATATAGTGATATTAGATGTGTGTAATGTGATAGCTGCATCAGCTTCAGTAGTGAATTTTTCTGAGATAGTTGAGAAAACAGCTATTTCACTATATTCTGTAACTAGCAACTTCTCAAATACTTCAATGTATGCAAAGATTGTATTATCTGCATGTTTTCATAATCTGAAGTTCTTTTCATCATAATAGATGCCTTCTAGATGAAAACATGGTTTTCATGCAATGATATTTGTATGAAAATTCGGAATGTAAGCTGTATTGATGAGATTGACATTGAACTGCTTTTCTGCTTCATTTATCATGATAGTTCTAACAGTTTCATAATCTTCTACTTTAGTGCTGAAATCATCTGTATAGACTTCCACATTCTCATTCACAGATGTAAAGAATAGGAAATGTGTTTAATTATTGCATATATGCTGTTCCGCGCCAGTATCAAAGATCCAGGAGTTTCAGAGATAGAAGTGTGAATTTAAAGAGTTCATTGATATTTTCCGAATCTGTTGATTGATAGATTGATAATTGATAGATTTAGAAACTGATTACTTCAGAATCATTTCTTCTAGAACTGCTTCATTGACATTTATCATATCTGTATTTGTGAATGAATCTCTAGATATCACACAATCAACACATCTTTTCAATTCTTGATTTTTAAGAGCTTGATTGATCTGAGTTCTCTTCTCCTCATTTTTCTTTCATTCAGATGACTTTCTTAATGAATTGAGATAGTAGCACTGAGTGTATCAGTGACAGGCTCTGTAGATACAGTTTTTAAATGTCACTGATAATAATTGCTAAGATCTTTCATTAAGAATAGTAAAGTTTATAGATTTATCTTCTTTGAGAATATTCATTTCTCTATATCTTTTCTTGAAGTTCTTAACTAACTCTATCAAAGATATGACATCTTTATCATGTTAAACATTCTTTGTTCATGCTTGTGCATAACCTGCATCAATAGCTAGATTTGTATTTAAGAAGTCTTTCTTCAAGTTAAACTGTTCAGCTATATTCATCTCTTTGATATTATCTTCAATGAGTGATCAGTTATTTAATCACTTTTCTATATCTCTGTTTTTCAGTGCTTTGCAGAGATCATGGTATCAGATTCTCACATTATCTTGATAATTCACAGTCATGAGTGAGAGTCAATCTCTTAATAAATGAATAATCTTCTTCACATCATCATTCTCACTGTATACATGTCATAGCTCTGTGACATTCACTGTTCTTTATATAACATCTTGTATCTTTGTCATACCTTCATTCAATTTCTTATATTTCATATATTTGATTTTCCACACAGTGATCTTGATATTATATACTATCTTAACCTCCGCAGTGACTTCATCTGAACACTCAGGTTTCAGAGATTCTTCTAGTTCAGAGAAGATATCAGGTTTGTCAAGATTGATGAAGTCTGATATCTTCTTGTTCTTTGCATATTCTAGTATATACTTGTATCAAAGTTTTCAATCTTCAGAAATACTAAGGTGTACAGTTGCACTAGACATTGTCTTGTCTGTCATATCAGTTATATTGAATGAATTGAGGAATCAGTTCAAGTATTTGTGAATATGATTAGAAATCAGAGTGTATAATGATTGAGTATATCAGAATGTATACAAGTGAGAATCTATTATCTCAGTTCAAATGATAGTTATCAGTTCAAATAAGAATTGAGATCAGTGTATAATCATCTCAGTTTGAATGATAGTTATCAGTTTGAATGAGAATTTGAATTGATGTATAACAGTTGAGTAGATCGGACTGTATACAAATGAGAATCAATCATCTCAGTTTAAATAATTGTTGTCAAATTTGAATGAGAATTGAGATCAGTGTATTATGCTTCTCTTCAGATACTGCTTATCAGGCTCATAACTGTTGAATTGAGTGTCACAGATGAATATGTTGAAGACATATGAATCTTATCTGTATCAAGATCTGCTTGTTATATTATTCATAGACTATCTAATATATCTATTTCATACAAAAGATAGAGCTATTTATAGTAAAATATATGTGCGAGTCAAGAGAGCTAGCATAAGTGAGTATTAGATGAGTGTTGTAGTAAGCTGATGATGATGATGAGAAATATTGTAGTAATATGATGTTGATGGCGTTCAGTAGTGTATAACCTCTTTTTCCTGACAGTACGGCATCATTACTCCGTATAGACACACCGATATCACTAGTTCTAATATAGTTAGTAGTTATTTGCGCAGCGAAGCGAAGCAAATATATGATGAAAACCCTGGTCATTAAAAGTGGAGAATTTCCTTTTTAAGGTTCAGGAAGCAGAAAACTGTTAAGAGTCCCGCGGTTGGTCGGCCCTTCTATCAGCAGGCGCTGGTGGTGATCGAGCTCTTTTGCCTCAGTAGTCTACAAAAACTTGACCTCGCTAAGTGCGCTGCTTGATCTCATTATGTAAGCTGACCTTGCAAATGTGGCCCGTGCCACTACCTGACCTCACTCAATACATTCTTTCTTGTAATTTGAAATCACTTAATTATTTATCATCAATTCTACAATCAATTCAAAATTAATTTAAAATTAATTTAATACTGAAATTATTCTTGAATTTAGTAATAAAGTAAGTATTTATATAATTTACACTGAATTGATTATCAATTGATTTTCAATCAATTGTTAATTACTTAAATATATAGATTGAATTTATTTTTATTACTATAATTAATTAATAATTAATTCAGAATCAATTTAAAATCAATTTAAAATCAATTTAATACTGAAATTATTCTTGAATTTAATAATAAAGTAAGTATTTATATAATTTACACTGAATTAGACTGGCTACTGAGATCATGAATTTCATATTTAATCTTATTTAGTCTGATTTCATACATTTCTTAGCATGAATCCCACTGGGACTGACTATCAAAAAAACATATAAAGTGACTATATATCAGATCTTAAAATGAAACCATGACTTGAAAAAAATGAGAAAGTGATTTCATTTAATCTCATTTAGTCTCATTCTTGACATAAAGTTACTATTTTTAGACATTTTAAGGTTTTTTTTTTAGACTATTTTTAATTTTTTTAAAAAGTAACACTTTTTGATAACACTCAAATAAGATTTAAAGTTATTTAAAGCAATAAAAATAATTTAAATTAAGAAGTGAAAATCATGATCTTATTTAGAAAATGTAATAAGAGTAGACAGTAAGTTTCACTGAGATAGTATAAGACTACTATCTAATGTTAAAACTGTGTAATGAGATCAGTTGAATTGATAATAAAACTATTAAAAAATCTGATTCTGATCTCAGACACAGTCACACGGTCAGTCTACACTGAATTAATTATTAATTGATTTTCAATCAATTGTGAATTACTTAAATATATAGATTGAATTTATTTTTATTATTATAATTAATTAACAATCAATTCAGAATCAATTTAAAATCAATTTAAAATTAATTATTAAATATTTTTATCTTAATATATTTTAAAATTCTGTAAAATATCTCTTTATATTCTATATGAATTTGTCTGTTCATTTAATTGATTATGAATCAGTGAACCGCTCCACCACGAACTCGCTCGATTTTTCGAATAAGAAGCCGCCGATAGATTCATCGAAAAGCCCTCGATCATACGAGCATTTTGACCCCATCGCCGACCGCATACCCCGTGTGGTGGTGGAGTTATCCAGCCAAATGTGAACCAGACATTGTTCAGAACTCCTGTGTGAGATTATCCCTCATTCTTCCCTATCACACCACAACCCCGGGCCAAATTGCCATACAAATTGTAAGGTGAAGAGACCTAGTCATATGCATCAATCTTCTCAATTTTGAAAGATCTCTGATCTGTAGTTGTGAAGATATCTGAGAAGTGATCTCTGTGAAAACCCTGTCCATCTTTGATGTTTCAAAACATCAATGCCAAGTCTCACTCTCATACTGCCCTTTCTAATCTGACTCATCCTCAGCAGAAAAATACAAAAAGATATCTCAGTAATAATATCAAGTATATAATCAACAGTCACTTCTGAAGTGCAATCTTCATGATCTGTCTTCAGTGTATCTAGACATCAATACTAAGTCTCACTCTCATATCACCTCTCTCAATCTGGCTCATCTCTGATAGAAAAGTACAAAAAGATATCTCAGTAACTGTACTTGATACATAATCAGCAGACATGATAACTATAAAATCAGTATATCTCAAGATCTGACTGAGCCTTTAATCTCTGCATAGTGAGATATATTAAATCTAGTTTTAATATCTCAATATTCAATAGATTCTGTAAGAGATTGAGAACAGCAATACTAGATTTCTATTGAATTTGAGAATTAACTCTATATTAATATAATTATTGACAAAGTCTTCTATTTTGAGATATAAATAATCAGTTTCTCTACATTTCACTGATAATATTTACATTATTATATAGAAACAGACTTATATTCTCTATAATATCAAGACTCTGAAGAGAGAAAGTCTTGATAGAGAGTATACAGTAGTGTATATCTTAGCAGTTTCTATCTCATTCTTCTGCAGCAGTTAATGTAAAAAAAAGATTTTAGAAATAGTTTTTTACTTCTCTTGAAAAAGTAAGATGTTTTTCTCTGAATTTTATACAATATTCTTACAAAGAATTAAAAACAGAGTTATTTTCTATTATAATTTCATATTCTTTTAAGTAAGAATTACTTTTTCAGTGACTGAAGAGCTTTCATTAATACTTAATTCTCTTTTACACTCTTTATTGACTGATTTGAGTTGCATACTTGTTGTGTGAGAAGAATTGAATGATTTAAAATAAAATTGAATAGTTTTAATCAATTTCTCTGCAAAAAATTAACTTATTTTTATCAGTTTTTCTCTCAAAAACTATCATATCATCTGATTTATTATCAATTGATATTATACTTTTTCTCACTATATCTCAAGAAAGAGTTTGTAAAGATTTTATTGACTTATCTTAAAAATCACTTTTAGTTTATTAGATTCTCTTCAAAAATCTAACCTAGTTACTGAACTAGTGTGAAAAAAATCAGGTGTTTTATACACAAAAGTCTTTCATTCTTCTTTTGAAACAGTCTGATCAACTTTTCAATTGAAAATAGACTAATAAATCTCTCAACTGAAACAGTCTGACCAACTTTTCATTTGAAAATAGATTAATAAATCTCTCAATTGAAACAGTCTGATCAACTTTTCATTTGAAAATAGACTGATAAATCTCTCAATTGAAACAGTCTGACCAACTTTTCATTCAGTGAGTAAAATGAGTTCAAGAGTACACTCAGCTGATGTGAAAAAAGATGTTTTCCCAGATGTCATTCCTGAGATTGAAATTCTAAAGAGAAGAAAGAAGGAAGAAATAGAGAAACAACAAGTTCTTGAAATACAGGAACTGGAAAAAGCAAGCAAAATTCTTGAAAAACAGTGTCTGAGTGAGAAGAATGAAGAAGTTCTGTTAATTCTTCATGCTCAGGCTAGACAACTACAAGAAGTGATCAAGTTCAAACTTGGAATTTCAAACATAATTCAAAAAACATTGAAATCTTTCAGTACAGTCACTGACTCTTTTCCATCTTTTACTTCTTCATCTTCTTCTTCAAATCAGAAGAAAATATATGCTCAAGTAGCAGAATCTGCTGTCTTCAAACCTGCTAGTTCAAAATCTGCTTAAAATTCTGAGAAAACTGAGAAGAATATTACTCAGACCTCTGTTCATAGAAAGAAAAAAAAAGAAATATAAAAAGAGAAGAACTTTCAAATCTTCAGAAACAGAAGACTTATTCTCAAAGTCTCAAATCAGAAGAGCTTGCAAAAAAACAAGCTAAACTCAAATCTTATTTTCAGAATTAGAAATGAAATTAATCAGCAGTTCTTTTCTCAGTTAATGACTGATATTAAAGTTCAAAAATCAGTCATAGCTTCAATTGAGTCATCTTTCTTTGAAAATTCTATTATTTTGACTACAATGCCTGAATTCAGTGCAGAATTCCTCATTCAGAATGAGAATCTCTGAAAATCAGCAATAGAATCTCTACTGAATACAACAATTCTATCTGAAAGAGATGAAAAGGAAGACAAATTCATTCTTCATGATATTTCAGTTGAAATTTTTGACTGTGAGAAAGAAATGCTGCTTCTCAAAAATGAATTAGAAGAATACAATTCTATTCAACTGAGAAAAGAGCCTGTATGACTTAATTCAATTGAGTTCAGACAGAGCAGAAGAAATGCCTCTGTTCTAGTATATACAAAGACACTTGAACAATCAAGAATCTCTGAAGTAAGAGTAGCAGGTTTGAAAATGAGAGTTCATGAATACAAAGATTCAAGAATGAATCTCAAAGCTCAAACATAGTGTTCAAACTGTCAAAGATATAAACACTTTGCAATCTCTTGTTTCAGAGACTCAAAATGCGCATTCTGTGCTAGAGATCACAAAACTAGTGAGCATAAATGTGAAACATGCTCAAAAAGAGATGAAATATGTCAATATACTCTGCTTAAGTGCTTCAAT